TGATAGTCAGGCACCATCTGCTTTCTTCACCACACCTTGCTGTAAGCAACCTTATCTTCAGTGATCATTTCATGAAGGTGAGTAAGACCACATTATCAGAACTAACTGTTCCCAGATTGGGACTAGAGTTCAGTGGGGGCCCAGAAACCACCCGCTTGTCCATGTGATAGACATGACTCAGGTTTACTTTGGTGGTCATATTATGACAACTTCAAAACCCCATAAGATGAACTACACCAACAGCAACAAACCAACCAGCAAAGAAAACAATAACAACAACAACAACAACAAACTAAAGTCACAAAAACAAAAACCCATAGAAACGGAAACATAAAACATTGTCAATCACCTCCCTCCCCCACCCCCCACCCCCGCGGGGTATAAAGGCGATTTCACTGATAACATCATCAGTTTTCCAATATTGCAGCACTGAAAACATTGTGGGTATGAGGAGTCTATGCATGTGCTAGTCCAGTTCCCCCAGGAGCCGCAACCCATAAGTTGCTGCTCTACACAGTTCCATCTCCTATTCAGTTGAGCTCTGTTCCCCCTAAGCATGGGGGTTGATGCCAGGGGGGAAACTTCCTGGATCAATCCTTCCAAGTTCAGATGCCTGCCCAAGAGATCAAAACCTGTCATGTCACTGTGAGGGGGCATCCAGGTACTAACTCTATGGTGATTCTGGGTCCCTTTCCATTGGACACCCACCAAGCCGGGGGTTGCCCCCAAGGTCCAATGACCACCACTTCCACAGGTTGGGGCGGCCACATTCTGCTTCCTTTGCCAGTCCTCCGTCTAAGAGAGAGGGGGTACTTCATTCTTCAAATGCGACATCTTTCCAGGACTTTTATTTACTGTTGTCCTCTTATGGATACCTGCTCAGGGCAACCCCAGTGGCAGTGTGACCCTAGGACATGTAGCATGATGATTCCATGCTAGGACCCCATGTTAGTCTGGGTAGACTAGAGAAACAAACCCATAGAAACTCATATATATATATGAGAGAGTTTTATATAAAGGGTAAGTGTACATTCAGAAAGCATCCCAACCCAGTGCTGTCCAAGCCCATAAGCCCAACATTAGCCCATATATCTGACACCAATCTATAAAGTCTTCCTCAATCTCACAAAACACACACTATGACGCCGACTGCAGGAGGAATGCTGAGTCAGTGAGCATGTAAGCATCTCAGCACTGGCAGGGGTCTCCACACGGCTGCTCCAGCACCCAGGGCTGCATCAGGGGAGGTCCATGTGGCTTCTCCTCAAGGGTGTCTTGCAGGAAGGGAGCCTTGCCAGCTGAAGCAGGGAACTGGCTAAGGCAGCTGCACCCTGGTCTGATCATCCTAGAACAAGGGACCTGAGAACAAGAAACCATTTATCTCTCTACCCTTCAATTAACCCCACATGTGTTTATCGGCCAGGTTGGCACAATAAACCTTAACTGTCACAGACCCAAAGTATGGCAATCTGCTTCAGCCTGTGTCTCCTGCCTTCCATTAGCACCATGGCCAATGGCTGGCGCAGACGCAATGTTTGTTCTCTTTTCATTGGTCAAACTCATGTGTCTAAGCTCCCAGGTAATGTAGTCCTTAGTAAGGGCCAGGCACGCATTTCTTGACTTGAGCCTCATCTTACAAGGGAGGAAACTGAGGTAAGGACAAATTAGGCAACTTGCCAGAAGTCACACACCTGACACACGGAAGGGTGGGGATTCTTGTTCAGAATCTCTCACTAGACCAACGGACAGCATCATGAGAGATGGAGAAAAGGTGGATGCTGCCGAGCCTTTCATTTTACGTGGATCCGCCACTAATGCTTACGGAAGCTGCAGTCACGAAATCAAATGTCATTGTCTTTACATGGATTCTGGTGACGATTGCGCAACTCTTTTAAATATGTTCAAACCGCTGAAATGTGTGGTATGTGAATTATATGTCGAAACTGTAAAAAAACAAACAGACATTAAAAATATCAGATGGTGTGTTGCATTTGGGCAAATCTGCTGCACAAGACTTCTTCAAGGTGTCCAACGCACAACGATGTCACTCTGAAGACTTGGGCGGCACCTGGCCCACAGCTTAGCATGTTCAATCGCCTCCCAGCAGGTGAGAGCCGGACCACGAATAAGGAAGACTTCAGAAGACCCGGCGCCTTCGAATGACAGTGTTGGTGAAAAATATGCCCGTTGCCAGAACAAACAAGTCTCTCTCGGAAGAAGTCCAGCCAGATACCCCTTAGAAATTAGCACGGCAAGACTTTATCTCACATCCATTTTTGGGGTGCATATAACGTGTCGGGCCACACCCCACACATTTCCTTAAAGGAGATGATGGAGGAAAAGAAACCAGCATTTACTGAGTTCCCACTATGCCAAGTGTTGTTGCCAGTTGAGTCCATTCCCACTCATGGCAACATAGTGTCAGGAGAGACCAGTCCCTGGAGAAGGACATCATGGTTGGGACAAAAAAGTGTGAACAGAGAGGAAGGAGACCTTCAACAAGACGCAGGGGCTGAACAATGGACTCCAGGAGAGCCACAGTTACAAAGATGGCACAGAATTTGGCCGCGTTTCTTTGTGAGTCAGAGCCGACTGGACCACACCTAGCAACAACAGTAACAACAGCAAATCTTGATAAAAGACCAACACCAGGTCTTTCCTCCCACTGGGCTGCTGGCGGTTCGAACTGTTGACCTTTCAGTTAGAACATTGAGCATTTGGCCATTGCGCCACCGAGACTTCTTGTCTTGATTTAAGCATCCTTAAATTTGGGGTGCAACTTCACTCTGCAGTGACAGAGCCAAACCTAAAGGGTGAGTCCAGAAGCCCTTCAAGGGAGAGGTCATCCCAATTCATTTCCATTCCCATAAGGAATACTGCTCACTGGGGGAGGAAGGCCTCTGAGCTATTGCCTTCCTGACTTCCTGTTTATATCAGGCCAGACCCAGCAGGAAACAGATGGCACACTCAAATTGAGTAATTTGAGCTGAATTGAATAAAAAGACTCTTTACAAAGGTGTGGGCAGGATGTAGGGAAACCACAGCGACAATGCAATAAGGAACAGCTACTTGGCTGAAAGAGGTGAGAGGAGATGCAGTCCCCAGGACCTGTAGGCAGAGGGACTTGTGTGCTGGGAGCCACCCAATACGAACTTCAGCCAGGAGTCAAGTGACACAGCCAGTCCAGATGTGACTCCCGAGCCTCCCTGGTGCAGCTGCCTCTCTGATGCCCTCCTGGGGATGCTGATGTTGTTAGGTGACCTTGTGCGCCACAGAATGAGACACTGCTCGGTCCAGTGCCATCCTCACAATCATTCCTATGTTTGAGCCCATTGCTGCAGCCGTCGTGTCAGTCCTTCTTGTCAAGGGTCTTCCTCTCTTCCCTGCCCCTCGGCTTTACAAACAGGATGTCCTTCTCCAGGGACTGGTCTCTCCTGACACTGTGTTGCCATGAGTGGGAATGGACTCAACTGGCAACAACACTGGCCATAGTGGGAACTCAATAAATGCTGGTTTCTTTTCCTCTCTCATCTCCTTTAAGGAAATGTGTGGGATGCGGCCCAACATATTGTATGCAACCCAAAAATGGATGGTTGAAGGGCCTGGG